GCCTCCCAAGTGTTGGGATTAAAGGTGTGTGCCACCACTGCCTGGCTAAGAAAAAGGGGAATTTTTAATTTTTGTTTTTGGATTTATCAAATCAGCTGTGAGAGAAGCAACTGGAAATTTTGGTGGGGCAGGACTTAAAAGTCAAAAAATACTTTATGTGGAGATTTTTTTTCAAAGTTGTTTGCATTTTATTCAGAAAAACTGTGGGTTTTTGTTTGTTTTTTGGATTTATTTTTATTTTATGTGCACAACTGTGCCTGGTGACTGGTCAGAAGAGAGTTCCAGAACTGGAGTTGTTCCAAGTATTTGTAAACCACCATGTGAGTGCTGGGAATCAAACCCTGGTCCTCTGTAAGAGTAGCAAGTTCTCTCACCACTGAGCTGTCACGCATAAATGATGCCCCCAGCATAAATAATGCTTTAAAGATTAAAGGCTTCCTTTAAATGGAGGGCATTGAAAATACATTTTATGTCTAGTTAATACAAGAAAGAGAACATGAAACTACTCAAGAAGTTTTTAAACCCAAAGAAAAGGATTTTAACTTAAAATTACTTTTGATTTACTTTATGTTTAATGGCATGTTTAGTATGTGTCTGTGTAAGAACATGTGTATATAGTGCAGGTACCATTGGAGCTGGAGATCTTTGGAGCTGGAGTTACAGCCTGTTGTGAGCTGCCGAATAGGTCCCCTTGGAAGGCAGCCAGTGCTATTAACCCCAGAGCCATATCCCCAGCTCCTCTGAGATCCTTAAAAAAAATGGAAGTCAAATCATGACACCACAGGTATCCCATGTTCCCGTGGCTTCATATCTCCAAGTAAAATTACAACTGTGGCCTTCAGAGTCACCAAGTGCTCTTCCGTGGGGACGTCAGACATGTAGCTTCTCAGTACACAGCACACTCCCCCTTTACGGCTGAATCGCTCATTTCATTCAACCTCTTGCTCAAATGTGGTGTCTTTGGGAGACCCCACGAGTCACAGCAGCACAGACATTTATTCTCTGTCTCCTCTCTAACATACTCTAAGGGTTGATTTTGTTGGTGGTGTCATGTGCTTGTTCCACTAAGTGTAAGCTCTGTGACAGCAGGAACTTGGCAGTCCTTATGACATAATAGGTGTTGAATAAGTATTTGTGGAATGAATGAATGAGTAAGTGGATATGCTTAGCTTCAAGGGTGCTCCCACACAGAAGTCCAGAAGAAGATGTTCAATGAAGTCTCCAGAGTAGTTTGGTTCAGTGTAGAGAAGCACTTCTGCTAATATTAATCATAAAGTGATTCAATCACAAATCCAAAAAAGCATACAATTTTTGAATCTGCCTTTCATTCATTTTCTCCTAGTGATTTAATAAGAGCCCCACTTAGAAGAACTATGAGTCGCCAAACATAATTTGAAGACTTTTTCGTGTTCCTTCTTTAGAAATTTGTTCATTTCCAATCTCTTTCTTGCACATATGTCTTAGAAATATTTTATTTGTTCTTTGAGAATTCATATATACATACCATGCATTAGCATAGCCTCCTCCATTTCTTACCTCCAGCTCCCTCTGGACCACTCAGCATGTCCTCTTCCCAACTTCATGGCCTCTGTTTACTTGTTGTTTGTAATGACCCACTGCAACCAATTAGTGCTGCCCTTGTGTGCATGGGTATGGGGCTCGCCACTAGAGTGTGGGCAACCTCCAGGGACTGCAACCCCAAAGAAAACTGACTAGTCTCCCTCAGCTGCCATCCACAGCCAGTATCTTCCCAGCATGGCTTGGGGTCTTGGGAACCTGTCTCTCATCCATGCTGGAATTGTGACTGGCTTGATCTTGATACACAAAACTCTCCTTCCTCACACATTTGCATGACTAACTCTCTCGTTTCGTGCAGCTCTGAGCTCAACTATCATTTACTTAGGGAGGTAATAACAGACGTTTGTGAGTTCATGAGTACAAAGCCATGGTCATGGAGGTCCTAGAGATCTGCCCAAATGACACTGGCTACTGCCATTGCTCTTTGTTGCCCACAAGAACTTGGTGGAGAGACTCCATTGCTAAAGAAACCACGTGCTTTGGGGTGCTATGCAATCTTCTGGGGGAGAAAATGTATCAACGGTCTTCCCCAGCACTGGACCCTGTGTGCTACAATGTCGGTCTGTCCAGCAGGATGTCCTCAATGGCATAATAATGTTGTACCGGTTAGTTCTCTGACAACTTGACAGAAGGCAAGAGAGTCAAGTCACCAGAAAGGAGGGAGCCCCGGCTTCATAAGAGCTGGCGCTAGGCAAGTCTGTGGGGCATTTTCTTAATTAGTGACTGATGAGGGAGGGCCAGCCCATTATGGGTAGTGCCATCCTGGACTGGTGGTCCTGGGTTCTGTAAGAAAGCAGGCTGAACAATCCATTAGGAGCAAGCCAGTAAGCAGCACCCTCCATGGCCTCTGCATCAGCTCTTGCCTCCAGGTTCCTGCCCTGTTTGAGTTCCTGTCCTGACTTCTTTCAGTGATGAACTGTCATATTGAAGTGCAAGCTGAATAAACCCCAAGCTCTTGGCTGTGTTTGCTCATTCCTACTCACACATTTCTGTCCATCCTCCAGTCTCCACTGCCCGGGGTTGCTTTGGTCATGATGTTTCATCACAGCGATTGTAACCCTTAACTAAGTCAAGTGGCATGACATTATGGGATAACCAATCACTTTCTGATTGCATATAAGGCCTGCTCCATACAAGGGAATTAATGCCTGGTACTATAAACCTGGTCAAAGCCCATGGCTTAAGAGGCCATAAGCCCTAGGAGTAACCATTCTTTCGTAAATGGTCGTATAGTCAAACTGCCTTCTAAATATTTACGTTTATACTCATAGATTTGAGCTTTTTTCACCCTTGCTCAAAGAAGCTTCCTTTTGCCTTGGAATGGGCAGGAAGGAGTTAACACAGAGATTCATAATTGGTCCAAGTGCTGAAAAGGAATGACTGAGATTCCTAACTGAGACACATCTATCAACCTGTGTCCCACCTCAGGCTCAGGAAACATCTTCAGAAAAGGGGCGGAAGGAATGGGAGAGCTGGAGGACAGAGATGAGGGCTGTGAACTGCTGTCTTCAGGATGTGTATATGTGTTTTATATTCTTCTGGCAAGAAGCTAATCTCATTGATAAATTCGTGTACCGAGCAGATGCTACTTAGTACTATAAATAATGGGGCAGCTGAGCAGTGGTGGCGCACGCCTTTAATCCCAGCACTCCAGAGGCAGAGGCAGGTGGATCTCTGAATTCAAGGCCAGACTGTTCTACAGAGTAAGTTCCAGGACAGCTGGGGCCATACAGAGAAACCCTGTCTCAAAAAACCAACAAGTAAATAAATAAATAATAGAGTTAATTAAAGCCATGATCCAGGTATACTCACAAAAGTTATAAAAGATTGGGAAAGATATTCCAACACAAGAGCACATAAACTAGTGAAAATTTCCCTAATTGTTGTTAGGACATAGCCTGATTTCCAGTGAATATGCATGCCTTGCAGACAGGAAAAGATCTCGTTAACAAAGTACTAAATTTAAGGGGCTAGAGTTGTAGGTCAGTGGAGCATATGTTTGGCATGTGAAAGGCCCTGAGTTCAATCCCAAACCACAAAGAAAAGGAAGGAGGAAGGGGGAAAAGGTAGAAAGAGAGGGATTGAGAAATATCTTTTTGTAGTGCTAACATCCCATAACTATGGCGGGGGGTGGAGACTGGAGGATGGACAGAAATGTGTGAGTAGGAATAAGTAAACACAGCTAAGAGCTTGGGAAAAACAAGCAAGCAAATAAAGAAACAAACCACACACACACACACACACACACACACACACACACACACACACTGTAAAATAATCCCAGTATCTGAGGTCAGACTGCTCAGGAATAACTTCCGTGAAGTCAGATGTGGATACGTCGGAGCCCGGCTGCTCCGAGTACGACTTGTGTATCAGGTTGTGTGCACAGCCTGTGTGCTCATTAAAAATTCAGACTCCCGTGCTCCACACCAGGTCCGCTGAATTGCGATTTGCATTTTGCCATGATGCTGGGCTGATGCGTATACACACTGAAGTCTGAGAACCTGACCCGGAGCAGCAGTGATGGGGACCGAGAATTGAAGGGAGCTCCAAGGGATCCCGACATCTGAGCAGCAAAGTCACTGAAACAAGATTCTCCTTCTGCTCTCGCTTCATCCATTCAAATTTCCATCGCTCTGATCTATTTATTAGCAATGTGGCCTTGGGTAAATTACTTCACTCCTCTTTGCCTCACTCTGTTGTCAGAGCTTCCAGTCCAAACCTACTAATTGCTACCTCAATGGGGTTCTTTGTAATTCTCCTCTTGCATTGCACCGTCAAGCGGTCACAGGGCTAGCTTTAATGCATCTGAGCCATCTCACTTGTAAGATAATAACTTACCAGGGAATGAACAGAGACCAATGCCGTGTCGAGTGGGGCACAGTGTTCCACTCTAGGGAATGATATCGTCTCCATGTGGACCACCACTCTAGAGATGGGCGGTTGAGGGGGCTGGAGAGATGGCTCAGTGGTTAAGAGCACTGGCTGCTCTGCCAGAGGATCCTGGTTCAATTCCCAGCACCCGCATGGCAGCTCACAACGGCCTATAACTCCAGTTCCAGGGGATCTGGATTCTGCAGACACTGTATGCACATGCCACACAGACAGACAGACATACAGGCAAAACACCCACACACATAAAATAAAAAAATAAAAATTTAGAGATAGGCAGTTGAAATAGAAGATTGCTCCACAAGGTTATTATTTATGCTTAAAGCTTGCATAGAGAACCTATTTGAGGAAGATGACGGGTCTGTGTGTCCGAGGAGTAGCACGCAGGCCTACTGAGTTACCTGCGAGTGAGAGCTAAGGGACCGAGAAGAACACGGTGAGTTCAGTCCCCAGCACCCATGGCAGGTGCCTCCCAACTGCCTGTAGCTCCAGCCCGGAGCGGGGGTGGGGGTGGGGGGGGTGTTGACTCTTCTGGCCTCTGTGGAATATCCACATCCCCCCCTCTCTCAAATAAATATTAAAAACAAAAACAGCATAGATTTTTAAACTTGACTGGTGCTGCTTTCTAAAGACAGAAAAGAGAAAACATGACCATTTCTTATCAACAGACAGTTCGGACTGTTTCACACTGTTTTGCCCACAGTTTGCTCCTATGGAAGTGCGCAGCACAACAGGACTTGTGAGTCACCTAGTCGGGGTACAGCCCCGGGGGAGAGTGCCTTCACCCAGCAATGAGAGCGAGCCACCCACCGGAGAACCCTCTCCCCAGAACATCGCAAACCCTTGCAACCCCGGCTAAGGAGGACTGTTTCGGGACTCTGGAGAGTAACGGAAGCGCTGCACCCGCTGGAGGAGACTTCATTTGAGGGGAGGAAAAGCTGACTCCAGGCTTCAAAAAAGCAAGCTCTGAGGAATTTTGGTGGGCCTTGTTTTCTTGCTTTACATAAGTGGAAGCGGAAGTACAACGTGACCCAAACTCACGGGTGCAGGTAACAAGCACAGTGCCCAGAGGAATTTGTACGTCTACAAACCTGCCAGGTACCAGATTTTCACCATGAAAAAAAATCTAGAAATAAAATGAGCTAAAGTCATGAAAGTAAAAGTAAAAACATTAAAGTTGGAAAGAAATGAAATCAGGGACAGGAAAAGCAACATGAGACATCAATGACACAAAATTAGTTCTTTGAAAAATTTGGCAACATAGATAAACATGTAAATTAGACTGACCAAAAATACAGGAGATAAGGTTCAAGTTACTTAAACAAACAAAGACGGGAGCCGGACAGTAGTAGCGAATACCTTTAATCCTGGCACTCCGGAGGAGTGGATCTCCATGAGTTTGAGGCCACCCTGGTCTACAAAGTGAGTTCCAGGACAACCAGCACTACACAGAGAAATCCTGTCTTGAAAAACAAAACAAAACAAAACCAAAAACACACACACACACACACAAACCCACCTCTCCCCCCACCAAAAAAAAAAGAAAGAAAAAAGCAAAGATGGAACATTACGACCAAGCTCACAGAAATAAAGGGGCTTACAAAGGAATGCCATAAACAACAGTCAAATTAAATAAAAATATATGAAATTGACAAATTTATAGAAATATACAAGCACTGAAACTCACTGAAGAGGAAACAGAAGCCACTCATGGTATCACAGGCCTTTATCCTAGCACTCAGGAGGCAGAGGAGGCAGAGGAGGCAGAGGAGGCAGAGGCAGAGGAGGCAGAGGAGGCAGAGGCAGAGGCAGAGGAGGCAGAGGCAGAGGCAGAGGCAGAGGCAGAGGCAGAGAGGCAGAGGCAGAGGCAGAGGAGGCAGAGGCTCATGAATCTTTGTGAGTTCCAGGCAGCTTGGTCTACAGAGTGAGTTCCAGGACAGCCAGGACTATATAGGGCAATGGTTCTCAACCTTCCTCAGGCTGTGACCCTTTAATACAGTTCCTCATGTGGTGACCCCAGACATAAAATTATTCTCTTTGCTACTTCGTAACTGTAATTTCAATACTGTTTAGAATCGGAATGTAAATAGCTGCCATGTAACCCCCAAAGTGTTTGAGACCCCCAGGTCGAGAGAACCACTGATGTCGAGACATTGAAACAGGACATCTCTAAACAGAGTTATCAAAAGAAGTGATACTGAAATGGTCATTAAAAAGCCCAGGACCAGGGAGACTGCTTAGCAGTTCAGAGCCCAGAACCCACATGAGCGCTGGGTGGGTAGGGCAGTCAGCTGAGGATTCCAGCTTTGTGTGTGTGTGTGTGGGGGGGGGGGGTTGAAAAGGGAAGGAGAGGGAGGGGCAGAATCCCCAGAGCAAGCAAGATTAGCCCTATCAGGGAGCTCTGGTTTTGACTGAGAGACATTGCTTCAATGAATAAGATGAAAGAGCAATCAACAGGGTCCCTGACGTAAGCCGCAAGCCTCCAGGTGCATTTACACATGTGCATACATAATGCCCCTCAATATGTAAATATGCATGCAAACCCGTAACACACACACACACACACACACACACACACACACACAAATGGAAAAAAGCAGGGATAGAAAGACAGCTCAGCAACTAAGAGCACTGGCTGCTTTTGCAGAGGGCCCAGTTTTGATCTCCAGCACCTGCATTGTGGCTCACAACCGTTTATAACTCTAGTTCCAGGAGATCCAGTGCCCTCTTCTGGCCTCAGTGGGCAATGCACACATGTGGTACACAGGCATACACAGGAAAACACTTATAAAACATAAATTAATAAATCATTAGAAAAAAACTAAACCCATTATTAGGACCCTGCCCTCACTCCTGCACATGCGCAGCTTGGGGGGGGTCTTGCATTTTACATCATCGGGGGCGTTGGTAGCTACGTAGGTGCCTTAAAAAGCTGGATGCAGACCTCATGCTCTCCCTCTGCTCTCTCCGTTCCGTGCTCTGCTCTGCTCCTCCCCACACACCATCTTTCTCTCTCTCCAGGCCTGGCTCTCCTCTTTCTCCTCCCCCCCTTTCCCTCCTAATAAAGCTCTAAAAACTAACACCGGGTTCTGTCGTGACTGTGATCTTTCTACGAGGTAACCAGCACCATTTATCTTTCATTGGTGTCGTGACTTGAATAGGAAATTCCATGCACTCTGCATCTGGGGCTGAGCGTTGTCGGGAAACTTATACTGAGGACCTGGGACTGCCCACTACGCATTTGCCCAGCTACCACCACCACTGCCGCCACCACGGTACCACGTTGGGACTATGCTTGTGCCTCAGCAACCACCACGCCTCCCCTCACCACAAGTGCTGCCAAGATTGGTGAGTCCCCCGCTGTTTCCCGAGACTGCAGCCTGAGCTATATTCCTCATGCCAGACCCCTGGGGGGTCCTCGGGCTGCGCTGGCACCAACTCATTCTCTCCCTTGACAAAGGGGTCAATGCTGTCAGACCCCCGGGGGTCCTCATGCTGCGTATGCTCCCAGCCCTTACTCCTCTCTTGATGGAGCAGGGAGTAACCCATGCTGATTCATAGATCCTTCTCCTACCTCAGAGATGCCTGGGACTGGAGTCTGATCCCGTTTCGTTATTTTAATTTTTTTATTTTTCTCTCTCGTAGCTACAGCCATGGGACATAGGGGCGGATACCAGTAAATTCAGCCATTTCAACCCCGATATCTCATGGGAATCAGTGAACGGGCAAATGAAAATTTACCTTATCCCCAAGCTTTCTACCGAAGCTCTGAACCCTTCTCCTCCTCCATTTCTGATTCTTTCTCTGCCATGTGCGACCACTGCTGTCTATCTGACTTCTACTCTCCCGTCTCCAGTATTGGGTCTGCCACTTCTGCTCATCCCTGTCTCTCCAGTATCAGGCTCTCACCTTAACTCCTCCCATTCGTTCTCAAGCTGCCCTGAGAAGCCCAGACGGGTCTGAAAGCAGGCTAGGATCTAAGTAAATAAATTTACAATAATCAGGATGGCTCTTTAGCCAGAGATCAGTTTATAGCCTGCCTCCTGGTGGGTCTTCCTAAAGCTGTCCTCAAGCCAACAGACATCGGAAAAAAAAAAAAAATCAAGACACAGAGTAAAATCCGTCTCTTGTCCCCCAGACCTCCCCGACACAGGACTAAAACCTAAGCATCTGGAGAGCAAGGCTCCTGGCACCACAGGTGGAAGTTTCATCTGTGGCATTTAAGGTGTACCAGGGGAGAGATGAGAAAAGCCCAAGAATAGAATTTCCCAAGTGCTGGCACACGCTGGTTCCTAAAAGCCATTGGGTCCCTGCTTTAAGTATAGAAAGAAAAAAAAAAGGCCATACGGGCTAGTGCGTGCCCTACCAGGCCATTAATTAAGCCTTGTTCAAAGTGCCACCTAGAAAGACAACCAGTCAGCTGACTGTACCCAGGCACCAAGGGGCAGGGGGACAGACAAGACCTCCAGCAGACCTAGGCTAGGCCACAGGCTCACTTGCTGGGAACCAGAACACAGTATGGAAATGATCCATTTCATTCCTTCTGGATACCAGAGCCACTAACCCAGTCCTGGGAGTTTTGGGGTCTCACCTCTCCTCGTTTCCCTATTGTCAGGGTAGGGAGGACAGCCTTACCTACCTCACCAGATTTAATTGCACTTTGAGGGTTACTTAATGGGAAAAGATTATCCAGCTAAGATAGGAGCTTTCATTTCATTGCTCCCTCCATGTGCCTCACTCCAGACCTGTCAGAAGTGCTGCTTTCTCTTCCTCATACACACAGACAGGGCCCTGATCTCTGCCCTGTTCCTAATTCCAAAAGAATTCTCACCCCACAAGCTTTTCTCTTCCTAGTTCCCTCTTCCAATTACCTGCTCAGCTAATGGTTACAGCATCATCACAAAACTGGAGTCCAGAGATCATCAAGTAAGAAACTGTAACAGCTAAAAGGTATTTACATCCCCAGACCCAAAAGTGTCTGGGCTCTACAAAAACAGACTTTAATATAACCATCTAATGTTCTCAACAATTGATCACCTGTGTCTCCTGGATGCTAAACTAGTAAAGGAAACAGGTGCCTTAAACAATCTGTCTCTGATAAAGCTTAAAAACATGTTCCAATCTCTCTGTCTCTCTCATTAACACTAACCAATATAAGCAGAGTACTAAACACTACAATGGTCACTAATTTTCTCATGGCTGCTTCTTAACCTGTTCAATATTTTTCCCAAGCCCCAGAAACCAGCTTAAACCCATCTGGACAGGTCGGATCTACTTCAGGCTTTCTCTGTCTCACCAGCATCCTGCCAGACACAAAAGCAGCCAGGGTGCCACCCAAGAGGGACGGACGGCTCCAGGGCAGCAGGACAGCCCCCCATCCCAGGACGCCTGTCTACCTCAGACGGCCCCCTTCCCTACCCCCCTAAGAGCCAACTGACACCCACCAAGTCAGCTGGAAGCAGTTTTTCCTGGAGAAACTACGCCCCTATTCCTATTCACATGCCTTTTTATAATAAGCAAAAAGTCTGGAATGTTAGGAGCCTGCCCTCACTCCTGCACATGCGCAGCTCGGGGTCTCACATCATCAGGGGGCACTGGAAACTGCGTATGCGCAGTGTGGTCACACAATCTGCGCCTTAAAAGCCAGATGTGGACCTCATGCTCTCTCTGCTCTCCGCTCCCTGCTCCGCTCTGCTCCCCTCTTCCCCCACCCCTCCATCTTTCTCTCTCACCAGGCCTGGTTCCCTCTCCCCGCCTTTTCCTCCTAATAAAGCTCTGAGTACTGATACTGGGTTCTGTCATGACCGTGACCTTTCCACACCGCAACCAGCGCCGATTACCTTCCTTTCAGCACGGCCTTTAATTGGAGCATTCAGGAGGCAAAGGCAGGCAGACCTCTGTGAGTTTGGAGTCAGCCTGTCTACATAGTGAATTTCAGGGACACCTTGTGAGACCTGGGCTTAAAAAAATATCACATTTTAATAATATTGTTAGTAATTCTTTGAAATAATAAAATAAGAAGTAGAAGTTATGTATCAGGTGACATTTTAAATTATTAACTTGATTTTTTATAGCAGTCATGGGATATATAATTGGAGGCCAAAAAGATTAAGTGAAGTAACTACTTTATAGATCTGGTAAGTGAAGGAGATGGACTTTGGACCTAGGTTTGTCAGGCTGAAAAGCCAGTGCAGTTTACACAACCAAGCGAGTTCAGCACTGAATTAATTTAAACACTATATAATAGACGTTCAGTCCTCAAAGTGTTGTTTGCAAAGTAGATTTCTGTCTAGTATCATTTGGTGTGGTAAGCAATATTATGTACATATTAATCTTAACCTCTGAAAGGTAGCAAAATTGCTTCTAAGAGATGCTATTGTATTGGCAATTTAAACATCTTGGTCTTTCCCTTTAACATATCGGTTACTTCAGTTAATAGGAATTTCAAAATACTCACGTTAGAGAGCCGGTGGCAGGCAGGAGAATCAAGAGGGTGCTGTCTTTCATGAATGCTTTCTTTGAGTCGGACGTGGCAGCATATGACTGTAATCCTAGTACTTAGAAGGTTAAGCCAGGCTGGCCAGAAGTTTAAGCCAAAAGCTGGGGAGATAATGGTTCACTGGGGGAGGTGCTTTGAGGGCCTGAGTTCTGGTCCTCAAAACTTAGGTGAAAATCTGGCAGCAGCGGTGGATGTCTATACACCCAGTGCTGGGTGGGAGTGGGCAGGGGTTTGAACACAGGAGGATTCTGGGGGCTCAGTGGCCAGCCAGTGTATCTGAAACTGTAACCTGCAGGTTCAGTAAAAGACCCTGTCTCAATAAATGAATGAGTAAGAAGGAGAAGTGACTGAGGAAAACACCTGATGTTGACATCTAGCCCCCCACAAGCACTGACACAAGCAAGTACACTCTTGGGTGTATACACACACACACACATACACACACACACACACACACACACACACACACACACACACAGACACCTTTTTAAAAAGTGTTTTCTGCTCAGACTAATTTAGGAAAATACCAACATCATCTGTTTCTTCTTGCAGGAAATAGGAAGAACCTGACTAAACAATAAAGAACACATTCAGGTTTTGACCTAGCAAACTGGGGGTTAGCAAAATACATTGTAAAACCAAACATGAAAAAATTAAAAGAAAAGTAAGTGTATAATAAAGCCGATTTTAGCTGGGCATTCACACAGGAGCAAAGGCGCTGAAGAGGATTTGAACTGTAGTGACCTGTGGGCACTCCCCCGGACCACACCCACACAAACAAACACGTCATACCTATGGTTCATCAGCAGGCCCCAAGGCCCGGAGCAGTCAATTTCCTTGCAACCTCTGTATCATTTGAAAGCTATTCAGGGTAATGCAGGTATCCCAGCATCTAAAGCCCCCTAGAAAGTAAACATCTTATGGGAATCAAAGACATGCTAATCACCTCAGCTGTACCTAAACACAGTGTTTTCCTAATAACAATTAGAACAAAGGAAAAATACTATGTCTCTCCTCAATTAGCATCAGGAATTCAGTTTGCTTTTGAAACTTCAAATTTACTCAATGCCTGGGAAATAACTTTTCTTCACTTAAATTTGAAAAGCTTTTCTAGAGATGAAAATTTATGATATACATCTTAACACAGTAACATTCGGGAACTGGATTACTTCGACCACTATTATTTTGGGTTGGTTGCTGGAGACCTGGTCCCACTCGGTTACTTGGCCACCCTTTAGCTCCTCATCTTCCTGTCCCTGCCTCTCAATGCAAGGATTACAGGCGAGCACCCCCATCCCAGCTCTGAACTCGGATTTGTAAGATGTTTAATGAAATATTTAAAAAAGTCATTCGGACAAAGATAGAAAACTTGGTCAATCTTGAAAGGAAAATACTGCTGTCAACTCACAGACTGGATTTTCTGATAGGCCTTCCAGCTGTGACTAGGCAAAGTCACACATTGGTCCTTGGCGTTGGTGCTGGGATTAAACTAAGGGCCTGGAGACTGCCAAGCAGGAGATCTGTCACTGAGCTATACCTCTAGGCCTTGTATATTTTTACTCAGTTTTGTGAATTAATTTTGTAAAAGGAAGGATGAACTATGGTGGTTAATATATTTTTTTATTTAAAAAAAACTTTAAAATTTAAGAACGAAGAAGAAATCTGAGCAAATTTACCAGTAACTTCTGTCAATGTAGAGTGGTCTACTCATGCATTTAACAAATATTTTAATGCTTGCTTACAAGATGTAAAGTTACTGGATTTCATTGACCTTACTATTCAGACACAGTATTTCCTGTTACATATATTTACAGAATTAATAAAACACATTTAGCAGGGCAGTGGTAGCACATGTTTTTAATCCCAGCACTCAGGAGGCAGAGGGAGGCAGAACTCTATAAGTTCAAGGCCAGCCTGGTCTACAGAGCGAGTTACAGGATGGGCAAGGCTACACAGAGAAAAACGTTTCAAAGACAAAACAAAACAAAACCCCTGCATTTAACTATCTGAACAGCACATATGTTATATAATGTACTATATAATATATATGTGGTCACTATTTTTAGATGACTTTTAGAGTAGTTTTAAACTCACATCCAAATTAAGCAGAAAATCCTGCATTCCCACGACACCTCTCCAGGACTTCTCTACTGTCAAAATCTCACACTAGAGTGATACATTTGTTACAGTTGATGAAATAACACATCCTTCTCACCCCAAGTCCACACTTAAAATTAGCATTCACTCTTGGTGTACTTTCCCACCTATTGTAAGTAAGTACATGTCTTGTTTCACCACAGGATCAAACAAAGTAATTGACAATCACTGGTATTTTTTGTTTTTACTTTGCCATTCTCAGAGTATCAATGTTGAATTCATGCAGTATGTTGACTTTTTAGATTGGCATCTTGGAGAAATTTCATCAAAGACGGTATTTTCCCTGGGCTGGAGGGATGGCTCACAGCTAACAGCACTGGCTGCTCTTCCAAAGGACCTGAGTGGTACCTACTTGGCTGTTCACGCTCATCTGTAACTTCCGTTCTGGAGGATTAGACGCCCTCTTCTGTCCTCCATGAGCACAGCATGCATGTCCTACCCGATCCTTTGAAAGAGAAGCAAGAGCTCTTAACAGCTGAGCTATCTTTCCAGCCCCTAGGGCTGTTGTTTGACAGCCAGATCTGAGCGGACTAAATTTAACCAAGATGAAGTGCAACATAGGTTATCTTTATTAGGTTAGACCCAATTCCACCAACTTTCTTTGCCTTTCTGTGTTGCCCATCCGTATGGAATCCTTTGCTGTAAGGGTGCAGGAAAGATCTAGAAAAATGAAAAATGCAACGAAATGCACAAATTGAGCAATTCATGTCATAAACCAAGGCTCAGGGAGTACTGATAACACGCAGTATTGTTTTGTATATGACTAACACATGTATTTTATTTTTCAATGATTTATTTTTATTTTATGTTCATTGATGTTTTGCCTATTATTTTATTTGTAAGATGCCATTGAGTGTGAGATGCATTACCATTTTGGGATCTTGAAAATGCTTTAAAAATTCTTTAAAAGTCTTAGAATTGATTAATCACAATCGTGGCATTTAAAAACCTGTGTTACTATTTCCATGTATGGATTCCATCCTGCTGTAACTATCAACAAGTAACTCTCAACAATGCAAAATTAATTTTTAAGCATGATTCTTTCTCACTGATTTTACACCTGTAGAACAAAGCGCACTGCAAACCTTAAATTCTTGTAATTGTAGTTTATCATGAGATCATAGATCGGGGCTGCCCAATTATTATTAACTACAATCAATAGCAATAACAAGTTCAAAACTTAATTCAATTACGAAATCCCTCGAGGGAGGTCATGGATTATTTAAAAAAAAACTTGAATAATAAACAGTTTAAACACAGAACAATTGTAAACAATGTAAATGTATCTGGGCTGAAGAAACAAATGGAAACATTTACTACCAGCCTCCCAGGACTGATTTAAAATTAGAATACCGTTTTGTTTTTCCACCACAGGGGTTCACTGTATTTCCCCAGCCTGGCCTGGAACTTGTGTGCTCAAGTGCCTCAGAAGTAACTGGGCTACATACAGTTCTCATACAGTGCCCAGCCTTTATGTCCCCGTTTCAGTATCCTGCACATGTGTAATTAAACGCTTAAGTACTAGCAACATTTTAACAGCCTTAAAAAAAAGTGTAACGTAATTTAACCCAGCATGTCCAAAACCTACTATTCCAGCAAATAACACAAGATTTATGAATGAGATGGTTTGTATCTGCGGTGTACTGGCAACACTAACAGCTCAGTCCTGCTGGAACTAGCTACATTTCCAAAACTCTCTTGGCTACATCTTAGCCAAGTTACACTCCAGCTGCCCTAGTGGACGCACAATCTTGGGCGATTCCAGCATCAAGGGATTCTTCCAATTCTGAGCCTGGGGATTCCTTAAATAACACAGTCTCTTGGCTCCTCCGGATTTGGCCACGAGAAAGTGTAGAGGCGGCGCGTGCTGCTTAGAGACGGTGCGGGGGGCGCACGGAGATCGAGCCCGCGGGCGCGGG